TAACTGACTCTGCAAACATTTCCCCATGAATCAGCCAGGCCCCAACACACCAGGGCCCCATGCGACAGGCAAGGCCGGGGACAGACTGAAAGAAGTCGGCCAGGCCCAGGACTGCAGGAGCCCAGAGAGGACAGCTCCTGCTACTCACCAGAGGATTGATGCTCTTGTCAGACAGGTCGTAATCAGTGGAGGCGTTGTTCTTGATCAGCTTGCCATCCTTGATGAGGTAGCCCTGGCCGATCTTATAGATCTGAACGACACGGGAACACGCGTGAACACTTGGCAGAGGAAACGGGGCAGGAGACCTTCATGCTCTCATCCCCTAGACAGGCTGGCTGGGTTGGAAGGACTGCCACTAGGGACAAGTCACCCCCACCCAGCAACGGGCTCTGGAAAAGCAGCTCGGACCTCAGTCCTAGCGATGAGGTGTCCTCAGCTCAGAGCAGAAAGGAAAGCGGGCTGGCTCTAAAGACACTGCTGTCCAACTGCGACAGCGGACGAGACCGCCCCGCCATTTCGCGGGGAGAGGACAGAAAGGCTCTTCTCCCCGGTCACACCAAGAGCTGCACCAGAACCCCCTTGAGGCTGACACCCGAGTCAGAACTGTGCCCATCATATGAGCACTTAAGTCCATGTGATGTCCAGAAGCTCCACTAAGGGAGCAGTGACAGGAACTGGAACTCACTCTCAGCCACCTTTCCCCTTCCAGATCGAACTCTCCACATGGCCCCCCGCACCTCACCTTCTTGTTGATCTCGGTGCGGTGATGGTAGCCTTTCTGCCCAGCCCGGGCCACAGAGAAGGCCACTCGGGCAGGATGCCACGCCCCAATACAGGCAACCTTGCGCAGCCCCCGGTGGGTCTTGCGGGGCAGCTTCTTGGTGTGCCAGCGGCTGGTGACGCCTGGAATAGACACACGCTGTTACTCAGGTATCTGGCACTCATGCCACTGGCCCTTTCCTGCTGCGTTCCACTTGAGTTCATTCGTTTGTGAACAAATGCCCAATGACTGGCCAAGTTCAAAGGACAGACTTGGGTTTATCTGCGTGTCACCCTCCAATTCCCACATCCCGCCAAGCTGAATACCTGTCTAGATGTGAATCTTGAACAGACTTTGGGAGAAATTAACCCTGAACGAGAGGGCACATCCCCAGTGCCCACACTACCCTAGGCCACCCACCCCCAGCGCTGTCCTCAGAAGGCAGGCAGCGAGGAACATTTCCGCAGTCTGTGACTCAGGCACTGTGCCCAGCGCGCATTCCGCAGCCTCGTCACTGAACAACTGGGCCAGAGACCAGTCTCCTGAGAGGTTAACCATGGCAACTTGGGCCACCACAAAGCTCACCTTTGTAGCCTTTGCCCTTGGTCACCCCAATGACATCGATCATCTCGTCCTGTCCAAACACTTGGTTTACGGGGACCTGCTGCTCCAGCCTCTCGCGGGCCCAGTCCAGTTTTTCAGCCACCGTGCCTCCATTCACCTGGATTTCCATGAGGTGGGCCTTCTTCTGGCGCAGAGGAAGCAGGCGCATCTAGGGGGTAACGGGTACAGCTTAGCATCAAACTCTCCTCCCACGAAGAAAAGTCTTGCCGTGACTCCCCACTGGGTACAATTCCCCTTTCAACTCTAACACCCGAATCACCATCAGGATGAGCATCCTTAACTGACACATCAAGACACGCCAACTTAACCAGATCCTGGCACCAACTCGCCCCATGTTCCTGACCACTGTCCTTTTGGTCAGTTCCTCTGGGGCACTGCCCTAGTTTACCTGGGCCATCTAGCCTGCTATGTTAACTATGAGCAAAATCCACTTTACTTTGGAGAGCAGGACACTGCACCTGAGTATAAACTGTCAGGAGTTAGAAAACAAATTCAAGCCGAAAACTTTTAGTTAAGAGGTACCCAGTGTCCTACACAGAACTTTGTCCAGTGATGGGCACATACTACAAGTCAGCACTAACGTGGTTGTCACTACATAAGAAAACAAAGCACTTACGAATCGCGGTGTACACCCAGGATAACGGTCCGGACCACAAGACACACCCACTCTAACCAAGCCAGCCAAAGGCTCCTTCAGCTCTCAAGTCAGGTCTGAAGTGCAAACAGCCAGAATGCCCCCACTGACTATTCACTATTTTCAGTCCGGCACTTGACAGCAATCATGAGGCGCCAGAATGCCCCCACTGACTATTCACTATTTTCATTCAGTCCGGCACTTGACAGCAATCATGAGTCACCAATTTCTTCAATCAGTTTGCCTTAAAATGGGATATGGTTTCCCTAATTAAGAGCCAAGAGGGACACAGTGCCCTCTGCTGGCAAATGAGACACCAACCCCCAAGTGTGGAGGCACTGGATGCTTCTCAAGCCACCTTCCAGTTGACCTTAACTCAGCCCCAGGAACCCAGGCTTCAAGGGCAGGAAAATGCCTGGACCATGGTGTTGCTGTAACTTAAACAAGCCCCAGGCTGCTTACCGGCCTAGCTCCATCACTGGAAAGTACGAATGAGGAATCTGACCCAGTCTTAGCACCCCCCTAACGTGCTCAGGCTTGGCACAAAATCAGTTTGAGCTGAGGGATCGACTCAGATGACTGGATCTCAAATAGGTGGCATCTGATATTCAAAGTCAAACATTATACCTCACCTCCATGGACAGGAAGCAGCCAAGTTGCCCTCTTGGGCACACTGGGGAGTACTCACCTGGGTGTGGGCGATGACACGGATGACCTGGCAGTACTTCTTCATGCTGTTGAAGTCCTTCTCCAGCTGCTTCTTGCCATCGTCATCCTGCCACTTCTTGCAGTATTTGGTGAAAGCCTTCTTCTTAGATTTGTGCCTTCAGGAGCAGAGCAGAGTTGGGGACGGGGGCCGGGTGCAGGCCTTCATCACCCCTCCGAGGGGTGAGCGGAAGGCACACGGGCACCACGTGGGGATGGGGCTCATTGCCGGCTTCTAAGGAGCCTTTTCCACCGGCAAGCGGAGCCTGGATGGAGCTCATCGGGCAAAGCCGAGCGGAGCTGAGCAGAGGTCCACAAGATTAATTCAAGTCACAAACATTCGAACGCACACTAATTCTTGCTCCAGCCTAGCCTTTACACAGACCACAGCCCAAGGCAGGACTGGGACAGTTCCACTGCTCTCAGTGTCTAAATGGACTCAGTACCTTCCAGCAACCAGGACAATACTAAAAACTGAATCCTCCACCAACACACCCACTAAGCTGAACATAAAGGGATCTCCAGGTGCTGCTCCCAGCTCAGAAACCACCAATGCTCAATGTCCGTCCCCAGGAAGTGTTCTGTTTAAGAAGCAACTAACTCTTAATACCAGAGTAGCCCCTCCCCTACTAGAGGGGAGCCCTGCACAGGGTGCTTCTCTCCAGCTCCCAACTTAGGGCCTGCTCGGTCTCCCCCTCCCTTACCAGTTCTTATAGAAGCGCCTTTTGCACTCGTCACTGATATGCTCAGCAAAGATGGTCTTGAAGGTACGAAGCCCTCGGGGGGTTTCCACGTAGCCCACGATGCCCACCACCACCATGGGTGGCGTCTCCACAATGGTCACAGCCTCCACAACTTCCTTCTTGTTCACCTCTGCAAAGAAAGCAGATAGTCAGATTCGAGTGTGCTAAGATCCCCCACAAGGGGATACAGTATTTTGTAGAAAAACATGAAGTGCTCACATAGGTCACAAGGACAACCTGCTTCAGGTAACGGAAGGTTACAGAAGCAGGGCCACATCAGCAACCTAGACTCCCAAAGGGCTGCCCTTGCTGCACACGCCGACATTAACGCAAAAGACATATGGTCCTAGTAAGAGGCAAATTAACAGCCTGGCTTCAGTTCTTATCTCAGAAATCTCTAAAAGCCAATTCCTTATTACCTAGGTAATAAATACTTAGGAAGTATAACAGGGTATCACAACAGCTGAGTTGATGCAGACATCAACTGTCTAACGTTAACATACTACAGGGAAGTAACCAGTGCTGTCCTACTTGGCGACTTTTAGACTTCAAACCTCACAAGCCAGGGACGTGGAGAGCATTCAAACTTTTTAGTCAACATACTTCTCTATTCTGTGGCTGACAACTTAACTCACCATGCTAGAGTTCAATACATCACTCAAAGCAAGCAATAGTCAACATACTTCTCTATTCTGTGGCTGACAACTCACCATGACATCACTCAAAGCAAGCAGTGTCAGCCAAGGGTAGTCTGGGAACATTAACCAGTCCTAAAATATGTCATCTCCACCCTATCGTGGGATTGTTGATCTCTTAAGTCTGTCCTCTTGACAGCTCAGCTCCAACTAATCTGTGCCCACCCTCAATTCCTACCCCCCTACCACCAGCAGTTTAGAGAATGCAGCGTGTACGTACTGGATCCTGGCCTATCGACTTCACGCACAATGTGAGTCATGCCAGCCTTGTAGCCCAGGAAGGCTGTGAGGTGAACAGGCTTGGATGGGTCATCCTTGGGGAAGCTCTTCACCTTCCCACGATGCCGGCTGCTGCGCTTCCGAGGCAAGAAGCCCAGGGACCCATGCCTGGGAGCAGAGAACTTCCTGTGAGACTAGGAGAAAATGACCAACATTAGCATCTGAACTTGTAACTAACTCACTTGTCTTGATTCTCAGCAATGCTGAATCCAAATGAGACCTGTGTAAATGCTGAATTAGGATCCCTTTTTGCAGGGTCATACATCCTGAAACAGTATTCAACTAAAGGAGGTGAAGCTTCATCTCAAATCCTCATCCGTTTTTCTCTAAATGGGAGAAAAGCACATTAAGTGCTGACATTAAAAATAGCTTAACAGGTGGCTTTATGGGCGAGTCAGAGTCTCACCACAAAAGAAAATTCTGGGTCAAACTGCTGGGTAACAGACAATGACACTAAAAAGATCCTCCAGCTACCGTAACACATAGGCCACTAGAACTCGACAGAGCCAAATCAGAACGTGACAATCAGCAGCACAGCCTCTGTCCGCCCGTCAATAAGTTCATCATCTGTGGTTTCTGGGAACTCTAGAGGCCTAAGGAGTCCTATCAACCGCCCCCGACATTTCAGAATGAGGACTTAAGAGCCCTTGCCCTAGTCTCTCCCTGATGCTGATTTCTGCACTGCCCAGTTTAACAGTTATTCGGCCAAGTGCCCCGACTCAAGGTCCTCCTGGCCAAAGCGCTCATGGACTCCAATATCGATTAGCCCTAAACAAGGTCGAGACCCAGAAATAATCCAACGGCTTGAAAATTGTGGGAGTCCAGGCCCCGCTGCCTAGCTCCCGCACCAAGGCCTCTCGCCACCAGCCGACCCGCAAGTCCAAGGCCAGCCGCCGGTGTTTCAGAAAATAGGCCTGGCTGCGGATCCCGCCGAGATCCCCGCACTCCCAGAGCAGGCTCCCGGCGCTGGGAGAGCCGAGATGGCGACGATGCGCCACGGATTGAGCCACGCCACCACTACAAAGGAGGAGACCGCCATATCATTACCTACCATGCCGCCCCCGAATGCCGCCGATAGAGGTCGGGCGCCGCTCGGCGCGCGATATATAAAGTCCAGCCTGGCTCCGCCTCTTCCGGCGTGCGAGCGCGCACCCGCGGCGGACGTCAGGTCGAGGCGTGGGTACGGGTGCCGTCTGCACGCACGCTCGTCCTCGTCCAGCGGTCGTTCCCAACTAAGCGTTGATTTCCGAGGCAGGAGTCGGAGCCCCTACGGCGAGCGGCTGGGTTCAAACTTAGTGAAAAGCCTCGGAAACGCTGGTAAAGAACTGAAATGCAATAAACCTACGGCCATAGGCGGCAACCAGATTCCATGAAACGTGCCGTTCGGCTTTAGGAAGGTGGATGCGTCGCTTTTCGTATGAAACGCAGTCACCTCTGGAATGGAATAACCCAGCTGTAGTCTTCAGTCCGCAGCGCTTTCACACGTGGTATCCGTTTCCGCCCCACAGAGTAGATCAGCATTGTTGCCATTTTGCGGGCACATTGAGTTGGAACGAGTTGCCCATTCCCACCTGCTCTAAGTTGGAAAGAAAAGACCGAACCCCTGGTTTTCCGGCTCCAATCTAGAGCCGCTTCCACGACACCAGCTTGCCTGCAATGCGTCCTGATTTCAGGAACCCTCCCCCCCACACCCTCACACCCCCACACCCCCACACGCACACCCAAGCCCCGTGTCGCCATTCCTCCCAGTGTCCCGTCGCAATGGCCCGAGCGTGGTTCTGAAGGTCTCTTGAGGGAGTCTGGGGTCATGGGTCCAGCCGCCCAGCGTCACGGAACCTGGCCTTCCAGACCCTCTGCAGGAAGGTACCCTTGCTGTTTTCTGCCGGGGCTTCCAGGTGACCCAGGAGGCTCCTAACCTCTCCCTGCCTCCGGACTTGCCCCTCCAAATCTTTCTAAGAATCAAATCTCATTCTGTTACTTCCCATGCCCCTCACCCTGCATTGTTTCCTCAAGATTAAGCGTTAATTCCTGAGGCTGCCCCCACAAGGCTCTGCCCTAACCAACCACTCCAGCTTCTTCCCTGCAGTGGACATTCTCCCCCCTGTCACCTTCCACCTTCCTCCCACCCGGTCATGGTCTTTGATTCCCCTCCTGGGCATCGCTCAACACCGTTGTTAAAAAACATTCTCATTTAATCCTCACACCATCCCAGAGGGGCAGCGCTGACAGATCCTCAGTCTCTTATTAAATCTTTGGGGCCAGATGTGTTTCTAAATTCATGTTTTAGATAATATCATGCAATATGGTGCACATACTGTATATTATGTAATCCTCCCAAAACTCCGATGAAATACATTAATTAATTCTGTAAAGAAACATGAATATTCACATTAAGTGGGATAGATATAAATAGCCTCCCAATAGTTCAAGGCTGACTTAACTGCTTAAAAAATTGAGATCAGTGTGGTTTTTGCCACCAAATGACTTAAATTTTTTTATTTCATAATTGCAGAGAAGGGATTATGATAATATTATCCTTTCGTACAGAGAAAACTAAGTTTCAGGCCAAGAGGACAGAATTTGACAAAAATCGCACAATTCGTGAAGGACAGCTCAAGTCTGAGTGAATTTAGATTGAGTTTTCATGACATCAGACTCGGTTCAGTAACCCCATCCCTGGAAAAGGAGCTCTGGGTCCTGAGTCACTCCCTCACTCAACAAGAAATTCTTACTGAAAACCTGCTCTGTGCCAGGTAATGCGCCAGACTGTGAGAATATAGAGGGGATCGAGAAAGCCATCATAACGGACCAAATAAGACTAAAATTGTAATAAGGGATGAAGTACAGCATAGGAATATAGTCAATAATATCATAATGACTATGCATGGTGCCAGGTGGGTCCTAGACTTACTGGAGGTGAGGGGTGTGGGGATCACTTTGCAAATTATATAAATGTCTAACCACTATGTTGTACACCTGCAATTAATATAAAATAATATTGAATGTCAAAAAAAATCGTGGTGAGGGTTCAAAAAGATTTAACAAACTGTGTCACTGAATGAAGATCCTGGACAGACCGTTCCCCCTCTGCAGTCATGAGAAAGGACAGCCTCAACAGACTGCACTGTCATGCCAGTTGTGCATATAGCTCACTGGGATATTATTGCCTCGGGCCTCAGTTTCCCCATCTGTCGAGTGAGGGATTCTTTCCTCATTTGTGTACTGAGGGCTGCTCTGCCTAAGAATGACACTAAGGGGCCACCTATATTGGGAGAGACCCGTTAAAGGATGGGGAGAAGGTAGAAGGGCTTTCATTGATGCAAGCCATCAGGGTGGTGACCTGGAAAAGGGCACTGAAGGGGACACGAAGGAGCAAAACCATGAAGGAGATATTTAGGATGGACAGGACCTGGGACTGGGGGCAGGGAGAAGGAGCAGGGAGCCTGGGAGTCGGGGTATCCATTTTGGAATCCTGAGCAGATGTTACATTTAGAAGGGATAGATTAATTTATATATGTAGGTTTAGATTCATCTGTGGGGTTCACCATATCCTTTTCTCCTTCCAAGAACATGTCTAAGTCTACACCAAGATGTATGCAACTCAACAAGAAAACAGTAAGGAAGTGAAAGAAGGAAAATAAGATAAAGCAGAGAGGGATCACACCCAAACACACACTGTAGAACTGTTCACACCAGAGTAGTCCTGCCATTTAGTTCCAAGCCTCTGTGAGGCCAAATACAAGAGATAAATATGATTAGTAACGTGATTCGAAGATCCACACCATAAAAACAAACCAGTGGCAAGAAGGAGTTCACCGTGCCTGAAATAAGGCTTGAAACAAACTTCTCTGGGGAGACACGGTTCCCCTAAAGGGGCCCGAGTGGCATGTTGCTGATGACACCCTGAACATCACCCCACAGTGAACACACAATGGTTGGGCACCCAGTGCAAACCAATGAACTCCTGACACCACGCCGATCTGGTCCTCACAAGCTGTTCACAAGGGGCCAGAACAAGGGGGTTGGGTTACCTGATCCTGGATTTCTGGTTTAATCCAAAGATGAAATCCAGAGTCTGGAAAGAAATGGATTGCTTTTATTTACAAAAGTTCCTCCATCAATGCTGTTTTCAAAATCGAACTTCTAATGAGCGGAAAGGGTCCGAGGTTTTGCTTGAATACCTGAAGGACAGATGTTCCCTGCTGCCAGGTAAACCCCAAGCTGTGGTCTTGCTATAGCAAAGGTTAGGAGGCCACGGGGAGGAACAGAATGGCGGGGGCAGGAGGGCAAGACAGGAGCTGAGTCAGGCAGCTTCGTTGTGAGGGTTTTTCGACGTCCACCTCCTTTAGCAGACTGGAAGCTTTGTGTCAGCAGAGACTGTTCTGTTCCCATGTGCCCAGCCCCACTGCAGGCCTAGCCTGGTTCACACTGGTCAGATGAGGGCATGAACACAGGAGGCCCCAACTAGAACATCACAGTTTCACTTTCAAAGGCTGCCTCCCTTGCCCATTGAAGCAATAATGCCCCTCTCTTTGACATGAGCTCACATTCTGATCTTTTGTGCTGTCATTGATTGTTGCAAAACCCCCTGGCCCAGATGACAGGGCATTTTGGCCGGAGGGTCAGTTAATATGAGCTTGTGGCATGAGCGCAGCCCCATGCCCCCAGGGTGGACGCCTGGGCGCAGAGCCTCTGGGTCATGAAGGACCCTACTCCCTGCTCCTCCACCACCAGCTGTCGGGAGGATGCCCCGCAGAATGGGGGCCGACTGGCCAGAGGCGCCTGGCAGCTCCTGCTCCTGCTCCTGTGCAGCCCTGGCCTGGTGAAATTCTATGCGCGCCTGCTGGGGCTGCACGTGGCCATGACAAATATGGCCTCCCACTGCCTTGCGGTCTATTTGCTGGGCCTCTGCATCCTGTGGTACAGCAGCCTGCAGCTCGGTGGGAGGCTCACCATCATCCTGGCCCGAAAGTTGTTCGTGGACGTGCTGCTGCCAGTCCAACAGGCCTTGGGGCAGCCACTGACCATCGCACGGGCCTGGGGCCTTCAGACGCTGGTCACCCTGATCCACAGAGCCCACTGCGGCATCCTGTGGCTCCTGCAGTGGAAGGGCGGCCTAGCCCTGCTCTCCGTGGCCCAGTGGGCCTACTACAGCCTAGTCAACTTCCGCCACGAGAATAGCAAGGCCTTGGAGCTGCTACTGCGGGCTGTGCTGCAACAGGTGGCCGTGTCTCTGCTGGTCCGCTGCCTAGAGAGATTGTTGGTGGCCATGGGACAGGTGGCCCGGGTCATGCAGCACAGTGGCCTCCGACCCCTGGAGTGGGCCAGGCCATGCGGGGCAGCTTCCAAAGACCTGGATGCAGTTACCGCCATCCTTCCAGCCACCACTGTTCCTTTGAGCCAGCGCTTCCCTGGACCCGACCCAGCCATCCTGAGCAGGCTCACGCTGGCCTCCATTAGCCTGTGCCTCAGGATTAGGGACAAGGATGCCAGCAAGGGAAAAGGAGGCTGTAGATTTGGGGCCACCAACATGCCCATTCACACCAGGTTCCAGAGCAATAGGACAAGCAAA